TGGAGCGGTCCACTGGAGGCCAAATTCGTCCATGTGAAGGACCTATGAAGATGGAGTGGTCCACTGGAGGCCAAATCTGTCCATGTGAAGGGCCTATGAAGATGGAGCGGTCCACTAGAGGGCAAATTCGTCCATGTGAAGGACCCATGAAGATGGAGCGGTCCAATTGAGGATAAATCCGTCCATTTGAGGGGCCCATGAAGCTGGAGCGGTCCACTTGAGGCTACATCCGTCCATTTAAAGGACCCATAAAGTTGGAGCGGTCCACTTGATGGATCCTAGAAGTTGTAATGGTCCACTTGAAGCCAAATCCGTCCTAGGCTCGTTGAAGAGGACCGCGGGAGAGGACTGCCAGAGAGGAGAGGACCACTGCTGGTGGACCAACGGAAGGAGTGGCTTGGAAATGAGGACCGCTGGAAAGGAGGACTGCCCGGAACGAGGACCGCCGCCAAAAATGAGGACCGCTGGAAAGGATGCTCGCCACTGAAAATGAGGACCGCTGGAAAGGAGGCTCGCCACTGCCGTCAGCGGCTCACCTCTGCCGTCGACGGCTCGCCACTGCCGTCCGCAGCTCCCCACTGCCGTTTGCGGCTCGCCGGGAGAAGTGGGAGCTCGCTGCTGGATCGATGCTAAAGTGGCTGTGGTTCGCCGCTGGATCCCGTCAGAGGTGAAGCACGCTAGAGGGCTCGCCGATCTGGGAGGATGCTCACCGACCCTGGTGGAGGGTACTGCCGGCGGCCCTACCGCGTGCTCGCTGCTCGCCGAAAAGATCCCCGCGGTCCGTGGCTCGCTGGTGGTCCGGACTCTAGCTCGCCGTCCGCCGAGAAGATCCCGCTGTTCTTCATGGTTTGCCGGAGGAAGGAGGAGGCTCGTTGGACCTGGTTGTGGACTAACGGAAAGAGTGGCTCGCCGGAGAGGACCGGGAGTGGCTCGCTAGGGGGCTGGATCGGCTCGCCTCAGGGGAGAGAGGCTCGCCAGTGGCTCGCCGGTGCTCGCCAAATGCCTGTCGATGCTCGTAGTTGGTTGTCGCCGGATCTGTGAAGAAGACCACTCCTCCCTTTTTCTATTCTTTTTCTCCTTCTCTGACTTTTGAACCTTTTTTTTTCTTCTTGATTCTCACTTCGTATCCCTCCTCCTTTGTTTTGTTTTGTTTTTTTACTTTCTCAACCCACTTTTTTTTCTCTATTACGGACTCGGAACACAAAAGCTTTTTGTGACGAGTCCCACGGATGGCGCCAGTGATGGAAACTGCTTTTTCGGGGCGTCGACCCGATGAAATCGGTACCGGGTCGGCACCGCACCGAATAGCGAAATCCGGAAATTAAATATATAAATAAAGTGGAGAGAAAGTATTTATACGTGGAAACCCAAATCGGGAGAAAACCACGGGCCTTTTTAGGCGGTGCCATGCCAAAGGGGAGGAACTTTTATTAATCTTGGGGGAATTTACATATACATCACTGTAGGAGCTTGGAGCCATTAATGGAGCTCCAAGCTAAAAGAAGAAGAAGAATGAAGAATAGTATTGAAACTTGTAGGAAGTTGGCCTCCCTCCTCCCTCCTTCGTAGCCTGCATTTAAAGGGGAGAAGGAAATAATTGATGGAGACAAGAGGGGACATTGTCCATGTGAAGCCCATGTGCGGCATGTGGTTTCCATGTGATAGTGTTCCACGGGTCCCGCCAAATGTCTCCACATTACTTCAAATATATTCTTCTGTCCATATATCTCTGGTTCTGTCTTGAATAATTTATCTGATTTATATCTTGGGCCAGATAAAATTGGGCTTTCTTGTACTGTTCAAATAATATTGGATTAGGAAAAATCCCTAATTCATCACGTAGAGTACTAAATCTGACTTAACACATCTCAATTCCCTTATACGTCTTACATACTCTAATACTCCTCATTTCTCATTTCATACTTGTATCAATTGTCATCATTTACCATTTGGTCAAAATCTACATGTTCTCCAAGTCATAATATGAAATGTTTTGAGGAGAGTATTTCATTATTTAGTTTTAACATTTTGAAAACAATACCAAATTATCACAAAATTTAACTATAGTATTTTTTCAGAGTTAATTTGCACAATTAAAAAGTTATCGAAAATGCTAAAGTTTAATTGAAAATAATATTCTCAAACAAGGCCGTGATCCATTGACGTGGTATTAGAATTTTGGAGACGTGGATGTCACAAATTCGAACTTCATCAACACCTAATATAAAATGAAATTCACAAAAGATAAATGGTGGAAAGTATTAACTCTGTCCCAGACTATTCATCCAATTTGACTTATTCGAGTCAAACTATGAGTCAAAATGGATGACTTTTTGGCCTCAACTAAGTAAAAACTACAGTATATATATGTGTGTGTGTACATATATCAATATAAAAATTGTTTTATGAAAATAAATTTGTTTAGAACTTTTAAAAATTTATTTCATTGTATTAATATACAACTAGTACAAATTAGAGTAATTGATAATTAAAATTTATCTACTCCAAATAAAAAAAGTAAAATCTTTCTTGGAGCAAAGAATGGTTCAATTGACCAAAAAAAAGAGAATGGTTAAATTGACAAAAAAGAAAAACCAAAGGGAAGATTCTGGGAAAGGGGAAAAAGAATAAAAGAGGTTATCCCAAAAGTGTATAAATAGCGTCACAATGAAGCACAACCAACCTCACTCCCCTTCCAAATTATAGAATTCCCAACTTTGTTTTCTAACAATTCAATTAAGTTCCATACATACACACATAACTCACCGGAAAAGATGGCGGCAGAGGCGGCGGCGCTCAAGGTCCACGGCATCATCCTCTCACCGCCGGTGCAGAGAGTTATCGCCTGCCTCAAAGAGAAAGAGCTCGATTACGAGTTTAACCAAATTAATCTTCAAACCGGAGAACACAAACAACAACCCTTCATTTCCCTCAACGTGAGTCCCCTAATATATATATATATATATATATATATATATACTCCCATACTATATATATATATATAGTAACAAGGTCACTTGACCATATTTTGCATTTTATCAAATGAGTAAATATATAAAATATACAAAAACATATACTCCGTAGTTAATTCTTGTCTTTTGATCAATTATTATCTTATTGCCTCTCACAGCCCTTTGGTAAAGTGCCGGCCTTCGAGGACAAGGACTTGAAACTCTTTGGTAAACTTACTTTTGATTATTACAAACATCCTTGTGTTAAACTTGATATCATCCGTGGTGTGACTATGGGTGGCCTGGAGGATATACAAAGTGGACAACCGCACAGGCCATCATATTTTTAAATTTGTTAATAATTTTAAACCAAAAATATTCTAAAAATATAAAATAGGACACAAAATGTAAATTTTAGACCGGGTCATTTTTATTTTTTTTATTTTTCGGGCCGGCCCTGGGTGTGACGATATAGTATTCTGCATGTGGATGCAGAGTCGAGAGCAATCACTCAATACGTGGCGCACACATACGCCGGCAGCGGGACCCGTCTGGTCCCCACAAACCCCAAGGAAATGGCGATCATGTCGGTGTGGATCGAGGTGGAGGGCCACCACTTCGACCCGGCGGCGTTGAAGCTGAACTACGAGCTCGTCATAAAACCGATTATGGGCAAGGACACGGACGAGTCGGCGGTGGCGGAGCACGAGGCGGCGCTGGGGAAGGTTCTCGATGTGTACGAGGGACGTCTGGCGGCGAGCAAATACTTGGCCGGAGACAGCTTCACCCTGGCGGACCTCCACCACGCGCCGCTCGTGAATTACCTCATGGGTACTAGGTCCAAGGCTCTCTTTGAGTCACGCGCCCATGTCCGCGCGTGGGCCGCTGACATCTTGTCCAGGCCTGCTTGGGCCAAGGTTCAGGAGCTGCTTAACCAGTTCCTGCAGCAGAACTTCCCCAAGGCGACCTGATCCTGATCCTCCCCGGGTTCTTGATTTGGTAGCCGGAGATCGTGCCGGCGGCGGCGACCGCCGGACATTTTGTTGTTTTAACTTTTAGAGTATGTTTGGTGCCCGCAGCTTCTTGGTCGTCTTGCTTTAGGACTGCGTCGTTTGTTTGTTTGTGTTCTTTTGCTCGCTCCGGTCTTTTAATTACTCTGTTTTTATGAGACAGCACTTCGCTGTATGCAATAATAAGTGGGAATTGTTCCAAACATTTTCTTGTTATGTTTTTGAATGTTGTGTGTTTCGTATTGCATTTTGACATTATTATTATTATGAAGTATGAACTCTGTCTCCGAAATACAGTTCCTTTTTTTTTCAATTTCAAATAGAAATTATAGATTTGTGTTCAAGGCAAAACTTCATTTATTATTTCCTCTATCACCAAAGACCTACCCCATTTCATCCCACTTTTCATTCCTGGTGCAAGACATGAATCTACTATTTTTTAAATTTTTTTAAATTTTTTCTTTTATATTTTTTTTTAATTTTAAAAAAGAAACATTTTTTAAAGATGTAGACATAATAATAATAAAATAGATGTGTAAAATAATTTTTTATAATTAAAAGTCATCAAAAAAGTACAAGCAGAGATAAAAACAATGACTAGTCGTTGTATGTTACGGAGTATGTCTCTTCACTCACTTGCTACACCTCCCACGCGTTGAGTAGATTATTTTTTATTTGTTAAAAAATTTCTTGTCGCTGTGTGATATTCCATTTCTATCATCCAAAGCCCAATTTGTGAGATTGATCTTCTAGTTGTGAAGAACCTTCAAGAATGGAAATGAAGCGGTGAAACCACACTATTGCTACGTGGCAGATTTCCAAGAATGGAGAGGTGACTAGGCGAGATGGACAGAATGGCTGGGATAGAGGATTTGTTGATTACTACCTCCGTCCCATTTTAAATTGCATGTTTACCTTTTTTCTCTGTCTCAAAATAAGTTGTCTGTTAGTTGTTTTCGTAAATTTTTAAAAATAAAATACCTAAACTACCCCTAAAATAAATCACACTTCTTCACATTATCTTAAATGTGTGCTCAAAAGTCAAAACAAGCAATTTAAATTGGGACGCATGGAGTAGTATGAATGTTTTTTTTCAAAAAAAAATCTACTAGCATAAGAACACCATCAGTTTACACCGACATAATAATAGCCCAAATTAATACAAAATGTTAGTACGATTTTAGGGGCAGTGTGAATCAACATCGTGTTGGCAAAAAGTCAAAAACAAAGTGGTGTACAAATAGAACGGTTCATGTTTTTTTTTCTTTCTAAAAGGAAGTTGGTGTGCACGTTTTTACATATGGGTCTAGCCATCTAGAGAAAGCCGAAGACTTTATCCATCTATATTACGGAGTAATCTAGAAGAACCCTAAAAACCCCTTCAAAAAATTACCCAATCTAGAAGATATTGACATTAATTGCTGACTAAATGGCATATTTTCAAAGAGTTTTAACATTTGAACGACTTTAGAATCCGCTTAAAATTAATAGTAATGGACTATTAATTTTGCTCAGCTCATTAATAGTGTAACATTACCACGTGTAATTGCTCAGCTTCTACTTGGGATTTTTTATAAAAAAAAAAAAATTTCCAAGCATTTTCTTGTTACTCCCTCCGTCCGGAAATAAAGTTTACGTTTCTCCTTTTTCTCCGTCCGAAAATAAAGTTTACATTTCTAATTTTAACCCATACTCTTCCAAAAATACCCCTCTACCTTTCTTTCTCTTCTTCTTTTCTTTCCTTAATCTTTATCTTTTCCCCCACCGTTCCTTTCTATTCTCCACCGCACCTCTCTCCTTATCTTCATTCTCTCTTATCCTCACTCTTTCTTCTCTCTTTTCCTTTTCCTCCCAGCGCCCCATTTTTTTCTTTTCTTTTCTTCTTCTTTCTCTTTGTGTAGATCTGACTTCTTCTTCCTCATCATCCTTCTCCATCTTTCTTCTAGATCTAAACAGATCTGTAATCTCACAGAGATGGGGGATGGCGGCGAAAGTGCTAGCAGTGATGGAGGGCCGGCGGTGACAGACTTCTGGCGGAGATGGTGGGATTGGTAGCGGTGGTAGGGTTGTGGTTGTGATAAGGGACGAATCGGAGGCGATGGGGGGCAGACCTGGCGGTGACGACGGAAGTGTTGTGGCAGTGATGTTGAAACTAATGATTGTGGTGGGGGATGGCCAGGAAGGGAGGCTGCCGGAGACAGGGTGCGGACGGGGGGTTGCAGAAATTAGTGGTGTGGTGAAGCTAGACATGGGAAGGATATTTTGGACTAATTCACCTTAGAGTCAACCATCAATAAAAATGACCAAAAGTCAAAACGTAAACATTAATACCGGACGGAGGGAGTATATATTAGACCTTTTGTGTTTGTAATCCCCTAAATAGCAGTGTCACCACTATAAACTCCACAATTTGGCATTGTGTACTGCTATTGCATAATTTTATTGTCTTTTCAAAAGACAATATAAGTTTTATTTTTAGTCTTAGATATTTCTTCCCAACCATATTATTGGGAAAAGAGCAGTTTCATCCTGATGGGGTCCCACAACCCATGAACCATAGGAATGAGTATATGGAGATCATCAGCAGAGGGGATCACAATTTCTATACACTGAGGAAACCATTGCATTAGATGTATTGTGTGGTTTGAGTTTTTCGTGCAATTTCTTTCCTTATAATAAAGTGGAAATTCAATTTTGGGACGTCCCACAAAAAAAAAGTTTTTTTGTATGTGGGAAAAAAATGTGTCGTTTGGCTTTAATGCCACATATGCATCTAAGTTACAAGGGAGAAGAAAACGGGGAAAGAGAGGTTTATAAGTTGGCTGTGAAGTACTAACCCAGAAAAGTGATACGGAGTATTTACCAAACTAAACCTCTGCGGCAAAAAACTCAGCACAAAAAGATCATCATCTGTCCTTTGCTGTTGATGATGTATTATCATTCGTCCGTTGGGCGTACGGATATTCGGGCGAGGCTGCCCATAAACCTCCCAAAATGACTAAGTGAGCCGAGAGAAGCAGGGCAGACGAGTAAACATTGGAGGGGTAAACATTCCAGCACAGCTCCACTATTGAGAATAACAGTAAACTGGGGAGAAAAAGTGGGCAGTTAAAAACTAGCAATCATGATCGAATGCATGCAGTAAATAAAGATGAGTATCGAGCGATATGATCGCATAGAATTACCGGACAAAGGTCGGGAACGGTGTTTTCCACAGTAAATATGGTATGCTATAGAAGTACCTGGGATAACAGCAGGAAAACGAAGAGCAGATTCAAATGGAAGTTCTATTTCATTTGAAGACTAAGTGCATGTATGCTAAGATCCCAGAAAATGCTAGAAAAAGGCAAAAATGTTAAGAAACACTATTTGCTTATGATCAGTTTATATCAGGAAAATGCAAAGTGAAATATTCCCTCCGTCCCAAAACTTAAATCACTTTACCGTATAATTCATATTCACATCAATTTATTTTAAAATGAGGTTATCTGGGAACGGGTGGGAGTGGCATATGTGGAGCATAAACTGCAGGAAGCTAGGTTGAGGTGGTTTGGACACGTGAACCAGCGTGCCATTGAGACTCTGGGGCGAAGATGCAAGAGGCTGACAGTAGTGATTTCACCTCTTGGTACAAACATAGAGGTTAGGCATATGATTAAAAACAAATTACTTTAGCATTAAAGTGCAATTAGTTGGATTATCAAGCCAGACAAAAAAAAACCAAGTGTAGCCAACAATGCGCAGCAGCACTTACCAAGAGTAGAACTGATAATGAAGTGATCGAGCACATATTATGCCAATAAAGTTCCCGACAAACATTGTAGTCACAATATCTGAATGCAGACAAAGAAAAATCAACAGCATCCCATTAGTTTGTAGTGGTAGTGGTAGGGTGAAAACAAACATATCAAGAGATGTGAACTTGGAAACCATGAAACTAAGTAAAACAAAAAAAGAAGGCCAGATCAGATTTCAAAACCAAGAGAAGATTGTGCCCACAAACTTACGGTCTGGTAGAAGACATTTGCGGCCTAATCTTTGACTGGGAAGTGTTTTGCAAGATAAGGAGAATAAAGTAATGATTCTGTGTTTCATTTGTCCAAGCTGAGACTGTAAGAATGCAAAAAGACCTCCTTCATTTCTGTAGAAGAAAGAATATTGTTGAGTCAATTTCAAGTCAATCTCATTGTCGTGTTGATAGTATGTCATGAGAATTAATGGTGAACTGATATCTCTTGGGTTTTAATCCGTCATTGCAGCAAAATAAGAAGTCCAATTTTTAGCTATCTCACACAAAATGACAAAAAGCACGACAAAAATAGACTAAGCAAATCCCCTTCAAAAGTGCACATTTTTCAAGAATATATAAAAATATTAATGCTGACCTGCACCATCTATAGTGAGCAAAAAGCATAAGCAGAGTGAGATGGGCTCCCAACAAAGAGATAGCAAATGTTTTAGATACAAATATATCCTCAGGTACAAATTTGAAGTTAACAGACCTGAAATTAAAAAAAGAAAGGCATTCTAACATGAACAAGTACTTTGTACATATTTAAGATTTTAAGTACATAACGTAATAGGCTACTATGATGAGAGTTTGAAAAATTAATAAAATGAAAAAAAATCTTATCCATTTTGTGTGCTATGTGTAATTTTATATACATTTTTACGTACTCCTCGAATAAATTAGGAAGAATCAAATATACATATTTGTATGTAAGAATATCTCAGCTAAAAACAAATCTATAATGTAACAGTTGCATAAATGCATGTTAGGAAAAGCTACAGATTTATTTATTCCTTGTTTTCAGAATGACTAAAGGATCCTAAATCAATTCATGGGTTAAAAGATGCTATTAAGATCCAATGAAGAGTTATGATCTGCAAAAGATTTGGTAAAGCTAACTTAACACAACACTAAACCTTATGCTTTTCATAATACAGCATGATCATAAAATACCAATCAATGCAACATATCTCCATTTGCTTTGTTGTTTAAGTAAGTACCAAAAGTGGATAAATACACGGCCGAGATTGAAAGCTCTTGATAAATATGGAACTGGATGTGGTAAGATAAAAGGCAACCCTAAGAGAATCTGCACCAGTCACAATTGCATTGCAAGATGATGAGAGATCAATCACCAAATGGCTTCTTTCAGTCTATAATTGCGTGCAAAATCTTACTCACCTAATCATAACAGATAATCTTGTTAAGCATACAATATTAAAGAAGAGCTCAATAAAATGCAATCCATCTTTGACCACTCAAATATCATATAAATAAGAACCTGCACTAATGCTGCCCCAGCTAGAGCCGATATCACTCCATCAATACTCATTGCCTGTATATTTCAAATACAGCAGAAAGCTCATGTAGGAATACATCCAATATTCATTTCCAAACCTAAATAGCATTGTGCACCTTCATCATGAGGAGGAGCAGAGGTGGAGCATAAAGAAGCACATTCATTTTTACCGAAACAGCTGCACTGTACCAATATGAAAGCTGTTAATCTTTACCAACCCAAAAGTTCTCAAGAGATCATAGTTCCATTTCCATTGATAAGCATAATAAGGCTATGTTTGGCACGCAATAAGTTTACCTTATATGTTAGTTATTAGCTGTTCTAGAATGAAAAAAATGGATTTTTAAATAGGCTGTGTTTGGTCGGCAAGCTTACTAGATAAGTCTGAACTTATTTAATAAACTGCTTTGAGTACCATTGCAAATAAGTTACATGAACTTTTCCAATTGTAACCTCTTTTTTTCTTTTAAATTCATTGCAAATATATCACTTTATGCCATTTTTTATGTCAAGGTTTGCTTACCAGCTAATATTCAGCTATCTGCTAGCTTATGAGTTCGGCTTGCCAAGAAAAGACTGAGTGGAATAATTATAAAATAAGTAGCATTTGGAATGCTCAATGGCTTTTACCAAACGCTCTTCCTTTGAGAAAATTCGGCTAACTGAGCTTGTAATGAGTCCCACATCAGAAAGCCATCACACCCTAATAGCTAGCTTTTGGGTTGTGATCCTCCCAGGGACTAATGCTCATTACTAAGCCATTTCAGCCAAACAAGCTTTGCAAAACAGGCCCTAAAATCACAAAATACAATACAATTACCTGAAGATTACTAGACCCAAATGCCACTTCTGATAAAGAAGTGAGAGCAGCGCACCATGGAGGATAGTTGTGGCCAAACAATCATTGAACAAGCGAAGCACAAAGATGGAGTGAACCCTCTTGGACAGAGAAAGCAATAGTAAAGCCCACCAGGGAACCTGCATGCCTTAACCGATTTTACAATACATAATAAAACTATAATGCACACAAGAAAATGCAGAAGTATGTAAGTACTTTGCAGTAATAAAATCAAAACTGGTCATCCATACCACATCAGTCTTCAGATAGATGGATAGAGTAATTCCAAGGTTTAAAATGTAGAGAAATCCAAACAAAATCTGCAATTTTGTGCCATAAATGTCAAATCTGAGGGCCATTGGTGTTTCACAGTGAGAACTACTCCTAGCTTACAAAGAAACTGAACGCGAGAGAAACTGGGAAAGAAATGAGATACCTGGGCAGGAAAGACCTGACCTCCTGTGACATATTGTATGGCAGAGTAAAGGTAGAGAAAGCCAGCTGGGTATACCAGAGGCCCAGTGTCACCTCTCAACTTCTCGTAATCCCTCTCTCCTCCAAGAAACCCGCTTACCTGCTCAACAATTACTACCTAAGCAAAACAATACTAAAATCGAAAATCAAAGACGGAATTTGACTCCCAACCTGAGACATATAAGCATCCCAATCTATCTTTGTATCTGAAACAAACAGATCGCACGATTACTGAGCGGAATTTGAAGAGAAGAAGAAGAAGAAGAAGACGTGAACATTGGGTTAACAATGGATAGTTGAATTTACATGGGACGTAGGCGATGATCAGCGCAACAATGATGGATTCTACTAAAACCAAAGCAACTGCGGATAGTAGTTTGGGATTTCTAAGAAGCTTTTGAGTTCTGGGATCCGATCTCCGCCCGGCGTTGTGCTTGGTGGCAGATCCGCCCGGCATGGTTCGTACCGTGGGGGTGTCGATCTTTTAGGATATTGGAGAGAAAGCACTTTCAAAGACTGAAAGTCTGAAAGATACGGATTGTTATCTCCCTCTAAAAAAATCATGGAATAACCGATTAATTTGGTTTAGGCCTAGCTAGTTTGGTAGATGAAATTCAAATCGAAATTAAAATTAAAAATTTCAATTCTAATTCTTGTGTTTGATAGCACAAATATTATGTAGATTTAGAATTGATAGTGCAAAAAATGAATTGAAATTGGTGAATTCAATTCTATGGAACTGAATCCCATAAAATTTCAATTTCAATTTCAATTCAATTCCAATTTCATCAATTCCATACACCAAACAGACTTCAATTCCAATTCTGGTGTTTGGTAGCACAAAAAATATGTGGATTTGGAATTGATAGTGAAAAATATGAATTGGAATTGGTGGATTCAATTCTATGAAATTGAATCCCATGGTATTTTAATTCCAATTCAATTCCAATTCCATCAATTCCGTATACCAAACGGACCTTTACACTATGTTTGGTTCAAGGAATTTGGTAGGAAAAGAAAAAAAATGGTTTTCCCTCATTTTCCTCACCAAAATGAGAAAAATTTGGTTTTCCTTCCTCTTATTACATTTTGCCTTCTCTTTTTCTTTTCCTTCCACTTTTCTTTTATTTTCCTCCCTAACCAAACAAGAAAAATATTTTCCTTTCATTTTCTTTTCTTTTCCCTCTCAAATTCCTTGAACCAAACATAGTGTTAAGAAATTTGGAAGGAAAAAATTTTCAATCTCATTTTCTTTTCTTTTTGCCTTTCGAATTCCTTAAACAAACACAGTTTTTGGGTGGCATATAATATTTGTCTCGTCTCGACATGCTTTAGTAAATGGAAGGTTGGCGATTATAACGTTTGACACACATGTGATAAATGTCAATAATATCTCTATGCACTTTTATCATATAGACTACATTTGGTGTGCTTCCTAAATGAATCAAAGCATAATCCTCAAAAACATTATGGTCAACAAGAGGATATTACCCAAAGCCACATTATACATTGTAATAAAATTATTAACATTGTAAATGGATTCATCGTAAAAACATTATTTTAAAAAAAGTCTCAATGATCGTCAGACTGGGCTCCGTTCCGTTCAACTTATTTTTTCTGATCTGATCTGATTCTAATAAGTTCTGATCTGATCTGATCAGATTGGATCTGATCTGATCTGATCTAATTGTATCTGATCTGATCTGATTGGATCTGATCTGATCTGATTGGATCTGATCTGGTCTGATCTGATCTGATTGGATCTGATCTGATCTGATCTGGTCTGATCTGATCTAGTCTGATCTGATTAATTATGATTTAATTTAAAATTTCAAATCAATAATTTAATTTGACTTTATAATAACGTTTGAAAATTGTAATGATAATTCATATTATAATATAATCAATATTTTTTATTTAATGATTATTTTTTAATAAAATAAAAATAGTTAATTCATATATTAGTGATGGCTATAAACCACCGAGAGTATGAAATAATATAAAGTTTTAGAGAGAGAATCTGTGTGCGCAAAGTAGGAGTATATTGATTTCAAAAATCGGATCCATTACAATGAGGGGTGCCACCCCTTTTATAGGGGGTACAATATACTAAGTCAAAGCCCTCTGATCGAGGCCCGTCGTTTAGCGGACGTCACCTGTCTTTAGGTCTTGTCCCTTTCATCCTATCGCTTTCACCAAGTCTTTGTTGAACGTCGTTTTCCGCACGTCTTGTCCCTTTCATCCTATCGCTTTCCTCAAGTCTCCGTTGAGCGTCGCTTTCCGCATGTCATTGTCGTGGGGCTCGGGCTCGACTTGGTCGGCCGAGCCGAGCAGGGAGGACGAGCGGAGCGCAGAGCCGGGCAGGAAGGACGAGCGGAGCGCAGAGCCGGGCAGGAAGGACGAGCGGAGCTTTGGGCCGGGCAGGAACGTCCAAGCCCGAAACTTAGGAAATTTATGCTGATGTCAGCCCCAGTGCTGGCGTGGGGTTATTCCCCATCAATTAGAATAATCATTCATATTATAATGTAATAATATTTTTTATTTTATGATAATTTTTTTGTAAAATTAGAATTATACATTAGAATAAATATTTAATTTAGATATACATTAAAAAGTAATTAAATTTAGATAATCAATATATAGAAGAGATAGTATTTTTATTAAAATATCTCATCATTATAAAAGATCAAAAGTTTAGAAACTCAAACTACAAGTAGCAATAAAAATATATTTTAAAAGTAGAATTAGATTGATATTGTCAATGTATTTTAAAACTAATTTTTCCGACGTCTAATAATTAAGGATTACTTTCTCAGTTTTCTATTTAACCTATTTCTAAAGTTTATTCTTTTTCATTTTTAAGAACAATAATAATAATAATAATAATAATAATAATAATGATGATGATGATGATGATCATAATAATAATAATAATAATAATAATAATAATATTAATTCTTGATGAGATCTGATTTTAATAAGTCCTGATCTGATCTGATCTGATTGGATCTGATCTGATCTGATTCAATCTGCTCTGATCTGATCTGATCTGATTCGATCTGATCTAATCTGATTTGATCTGATCTAATCTGATCTGATCTGATTTTAATAAGAATAAGAAAAAATAAGAAAAAATAAGTTGAACGGAACGGGGCCTGAGTTCGAGAAAAAAAATGTTCCAAAGCCGCGGTGGCAGTGATTAAGGTCCACGTGTGCACTTGCACCAGAGGAGTCACCCTCGCCATATTCCGACACGTGTCCTCCCTGTCCTCATGAAAACGAAAGAACAGCAAATCAATTAAAGAATGGCTTCAATCGATCGATCTCATCCCGTCCTTATAAACAGCTTTATCTCACAATCTCCTCTGGGAAAAATAATCCCCACGCCGTTTCCCTCTCCCCATCTCCCAATTATCAAACAATTCCATAAATGGCGACTCAATCAAATTCACATCTCAAACACAGAAAGAAAGAAGAAGAAGAAGAAGAAAAAGCACATGATCAGATCATGAACAATGGAACCGCCGCCGCCGCCGCTGCGAGAGCGAGGAGACAGAAAGCCAAACGCGGCCTTAGATCTCTGGGAATCGCCGTCGTTCTCCCTCTCTCCCTGACGCTTCTCGACATCTCCCTGTTCGGGGCGAGCCAGCAGTACCGGGCCATGGAGAAGCCCTTCTGGGTCCCGCGCCTTTGGGCCCTGCACCTCGCTTGCCTGGGCTCCGCCTTCCTGATGGGCCTCTCCGCCTGGCTAGTCTGGGTCGACGGCGGCTTCCACCGCTGCCCCGCCGCCATGGTCCTGTACCTCAGCCAGCTCGCGCTCGGCCTCGCGTGGGACCCCGTCGTGTTCAAGGCCGGGGACACGCGCGCCGGGCTCGTGCTCTGCCTCGGACTCGTCGGGGCGCTGGTCGGGTGCGCCCGGACGTTCAAAAACGTGAATCCGATCGCCGGCGACCTGGTCAAACCTTGTCTCGGATGGGCTCTTCTTGTCTCCGTCACCAACCTTAAGCTCATTTCATCCCGTTGATCATGACGACGTCGTATCATGAATTCATGCCCCATCTAACTTTTGTCACTCGTATTAATTAAAAAAAAGCAATTAGTAGTGTGAGATGATGTTTTTAGGGAAACCTTTCGTAGGAGGTTCCACACCATCATGTTTTTAGTTTTTTTTTTTTGGATATTGTTGTAAAATATATAAAAAAATAATATTGTTGTAAATATTGTTGCAAATATTGCGAATAACCTAATGGTATGTTTGGGAACATGGATTTGGATTTCAAATCCGGATTTGGCTTAAATTCCATGTTTGGGAAACTTAAGCATTTTAAATTTGGATTTGAATCAAATTCTTTATATTCAAAACAAAGCTTAATTTGAAATCCATGCACCTCCCCTTGTCATTTGAAATTCTGAATTTCAAATTTTGGAATTGAAATGCATGAATTGAAATGAAATGCTAGTTGCCAAACACTACCTAAAACAATTTGAAAAGTATCATCAAAACAAAAATAGTAGTAATAATAACAACAACAATAAGTTGGGAACTAGAAATAATAATAATAATAATAAACTAAGCCGTTATCGGTTCGGCCAATTCCGATTTTCGTTCCAAAAGTTGGGAACTAGAAATGAAAGTATGAAACTTTAGCACACCAATTCTTATGTTGATTTCAGATTTGGTTATGTTCTAGACTTCTAGTATCAATTTTGAATTAAGTGGTTCAGTCGTAGGACGGGATATATGTCCGGTCTTTATTTTATTACTGGTATATCCTTATACCCGGCCCGAATTTCTGAAAGCGACAAGTCAAAAGTTGACCGGTCACTTTCCATGATTACAGAATGAGAATAACTCTTCGATCGAGACGAGTCAAAAGTTGACCGGTCATTTTTTAGGGAAAAAGTGACCGGTCACATTTTGGGCAATAGCCAAAATGTCACCCATGTTACGAAGGACATTCTAGAAGATCAGAGAGATAGGTTGGGCTCAAGAAATGACCGGTCGACCTTCAAGGAAAGGTGATTGGTCATATTCTTCTACTTAGCTAATGTTAAGTGAATTTCCCAAGTATGGTAGTCATCATCAGAGGCCAGGGGACCACCCCGCCGTTCATCCATCACGAGGCATACAGTGAAAGGACGTTTGTCATCTTGCAGGGCTGATTGGATTGAGAATATCCACTTTATAGTCTTTGATTGAATAATGTCTTGACTTGTAGCTACTAAAATCGCTGATTGAATAGTGATTACATTATGTACAATGACCTTCCTCCGGATTTTCTATTTTGTCCATATATAGATGAACATGGGAAGATCACAAATCCTCCTCTATAAATATGATGATTATGGATAGAGGAGGGGATCCAAGTTTTATCTCACTGAAAGTACACTCTTGAGACAGAGTAAGAAATTTAATTCGGACTGAGGAGATTTAACCAGTATAGGTCATACTTTGTGTTCTTGTTGTGTGTATTTTACTACGGATCGAGTGTGTCCAGGTCAACCCCGATTAACCTACCCAGCTATATTTTTACTATCAACTCTGTATATCATTTCTTTCCTCTATTTGCCTCACATAGACAATTTCACTAATTTCATACTCTCTTCGTTCCCAATTTGATTATAAATTACGGATTACGGAGTAAAATTTTCTACTTTTTGAAATTATTTTATTTACAAATTGATATATCAATTAGATATAAAAATTACATATTAAAAAACTACGTCAAAAGTTCTACAAAACAAGAGGTGACAAGAATATTTTATTTTATCAAATACTTAATGAAATCGTGTAAATAAACAAAAGTTATCAAGAGGAAAGAGAAAAAAATTGTAATCTATTTACAGACGGAGGGAGTATTTTTATTTACATCTATGTTATTTTAATAATTAGTTAACCAATAATATAAATTATTTTTCAAATAATCAACTCTTACAAATAACACATAGATTAAATCTTAAATTTAAAAAACAATTTTTTTAATAAGATTTGTTTTAGAATATGGAGAACACTTAACTTTAATAAACAATACAATTACTTCATTTTTAATTATGAATAAATTTAAATTGACCCCAGGATAATGAGTATTAGAGATGTACTAAAAACAATCATGCTAGGAGTACACCAAAAAGTGATTTTAATGATTCATAATGGTATAAAATGTTAGTTCAATCTAAAAATTTTGCACTGACATTTTGTATTGACATTTTGTATCATTTGTAATGTACGGAGTATTAAATTAACATCACACTATCACAAAATGTTACCGGTACAGAATGAAATGCAAATTTTGGTCTCCAAGTATCAATTTCGGACTTAAGTTGATGCCCAGTGAATAACAAAACGTCAGAAGCACAAGCGGGGGGCTTGATTTTGGCGGCAAAAAGAGGGGCGGTTGAGAACATTGCCGCCTAGGGTTATATGCGCCAGCGCTTCGCTTCCGCGAAATGAACTGAACTGAAATTCTGGGCTTCCATTACAAGCTAATCTTTGAATAGGACACATCGAGCTCACGACGGGAGGTTTTGCGGTCGGTTCTCCGCTCGCTGCCCTACGGCGAAGCTCAGCCGCGAATGGAAGGAGCAACCGCTCTATCTCGGGATTCCCCGACCATCAAACCCATCAACAAGGGCGTCGTCCACCGAATTTGCGCCGGTCAGGTTATCCTCGACCTCTCCTCAGCCGTCAAGGAGCTGGTGGAGAACAGCCTAGACGCCGGCGCTACCAGCATTGAGGTTTCCCTCCGAGATTACGGGGCTGAATCCTTCCAGGTCATAGACAATGGTTGTGGCATTTCTCCTCACAATTTCAAGGTCTGATAGATAAATGTATTTGAAATTGTCTTTCGTTTGTTCTTCACACTTAGATATATATCAGTATGGCTTGCGACTCGTTGATTGTCGCTGTTCAACTAACCTGGTTTGTGGGTGGTGTTTATTTTTTGCTCGGTTGAAGGTTTTAGCATTGAAGCATCACACATCAAAGCTATCAGATTTTCTTGATCTTCAGTCTTTAGCGACTTTTGGGTTTAGAGGGGAAGCTTTGAGTTCCCTTTGTGCTTTAGGAGATTTGACAGTAGAGACTAGAACAAGGAACGAACCCGTAGCAACACACTTAACTTTCAATCGCTCTGGGCTTCTATTGGAAGAATCAAAGACGGCACGCCAAGTTGGTACCACTGTCACTGTTAAGAAATTATTTTCCAGTTTACCTGTTCGAAGTAAGGAGTTTCATAGAAACATCCGTAAGGAATATGGGAAGCTCATCACCTTGTTGAATGTAAGCCTCCTTGTTCTGAGAATATTCTGCCTAGAGTTTGATGCCAAACACTTACCTTTTCTTTTTTGGGATTCAGGCTTATGCTTTGGTTGCCATGGGAGTTAGATTGCTTTGCACGAACACAACAGGAAAGAATGCAAAATCGGTGGTGCTGAAAACTCAAGGAAGTGGATCCCTGAAAGATAACATCATTGCAGTCTTTGGTATGAATACATTTACCTCTTTAGAGCCTGTTAATGTATGTGTAAAAGATGGTTGTGAAATTGATGGGTTCATTTCCAAGGGTGGGAATGGAAGTGGGCGGAATTCAGGGGATCGCCAATTCTTCTTTGTTAATGGTCGACCAGTTGATATGCCCAAACTCTGCAAGCTTGTGAATGAACTCTATAGAGCTGCTAACAGCAAGCAATTTCCCATTGCAATTATGAACTTCACCATTTCACCTCAAGCCTATGATGTGAATGTCTCTCCTGATAAAAGAAAAATCTTCTTCTCCGACGAATGCTCCATTTTGAGATCCTTGAGAGAAGCTTTAGAAAAGATATACTCACCCGAACTTGCTAGTTATTCTGTAAATTCATTAGAAGATGTTGCACAAGGAAAACATAGTTCCATGTTTTGTGTGCGGCAAACAATGCCAGATTTAAGATCGAAGCAAATATCTTCTGAAACATTTCCCGACAAACAAGCACACAGCAGGGGAAAACCTGCAGATGGTGATATTCTGAGGACTTTAGAAGACGACACCAGTGGTTCTTCTGATGCAGTTATGATGCAAAGTAAGGAAATCAGTTCAACAAAAAGGGACTTTAGTCTAAGATTTCATTGTAAAGAGAAGAACCGCCAACACTATGACAGTTCTGAGAAGCAAGATATTTGTCTGGAAAGTAATGTGACAGATATTCAGCCTTTGCTATGTTCTTCACCTGTAAAAAAAGAAAGTGTAAAAGATGGAAATTTCACCAGGGACTCGAATATTGTCCAATCATCACTTACCAAATATGTTACGTTGAATAAGAGAAAGCATGAGAGTATTAGTTCACCTCTGACTGAAGTTCCTGTGCTGAGAAATGGATCTATATGTTGCCAATCAACTGACACAAAATGCAGCTCATTCTCAACTCCTGCAGAAAAATATAATATGGTTGATGTTTGCGGTGAAGATAACCAAAATAAGTCTGGATCTTTAACCTTATCTAAATTGGGTAAAATTGTTAATCATATGACGAATGGGATACCCAGCACAGACAAGATTCACCAAGGAGAGATCATAAAGGTAAAAGAATATCTGACCCCCTCTTTGAACGTTTCTTGCATCATCATTTTCTTGAAAGAAATTTCACATTTAACACTAAAAAAATTTTACATTATCTCCCATAGCCCATAGGGCATAAATGTCTTATCCTCACTTCATACATTTTCAGCAATGCTTCATTTTCAGGAAAGAAAAAGTGAAAAAAAAGATTTGTCTTCCCCCAGTTCAATATTAGCTGCTTCAGAACAACCTTGTGGTTTATCATCATATTCTCAAAAGGTTCCCCTTGACTCAAAGATTGGTCCTACCATGCAATTTAGTCTTAAAGACTTGATGGAAAGAAGGAAATGGAGGCTTACAAGATTACGAACCAGCACCCTTTCCTCTAGGAGTATTGAACCGAAAAGGTATCCACCTGTTGATCTTCTCCTCAAACTGCAAATGGAATTTGCTATTTTTGTGAGATGATTTGTTTGATGTGCTACTTGCAGGGGATATGCTGCAGCATCATTGGACCTCTCTCAACCACTTAATGAAGAGGGAAAAACAAAAGCCTTGGCTGCTGCGGCTACTGAGTTGGAAAGGATGTTCAGGAAAGAAAACTTTGCTCAAATGAAGGTTGGCTTATCTTCTCTTCATTTATAACTTGAAACATATTTTTGCAGATTCTGTCAACTATAATTTTAAAACATCTTTTTTACATTATCACATCTATATATCGTACATCCTGATCATACTTTCCAGTTCTTATATTCATACAGTGAAGGAGTCAAAGTTTTTTATGGTTGGGTTTTTGTATACTTATTTGATATGCACTCCATTCCTATTTAATTGACCATTCTGACTTTCATGATACATTGAAAAATGAATGCATGATATAAAGTATGTCAACATTCTTTCATTTTTCAATGTATCAAGAAAGCCATGAGGGTCCATTAAAAAGGAATGGAGGGAAATCAGGAAAAATAATTTTTCTTTCCATTCAGATTACTTTTCAGATTTGCCTTTCAATTATATTTCATATTAGCATTAAAACCTTTCATTTAAACATTTTGCTATACCTAACTCCTATTCATAATTGATTAACTTGAAGCTTGGCTTTTATGTGTCCTCTTTGGGAAAAAGGTTTATTTTGGGAAGCAGTTTTTATATACTCCGGTATATAAATAACCTGTTATGGAAATAAAATGTTTGCACTACTATACTTGTTAATCATGCAAGTACTTGAACCAAGCTCTTTTCCTTCTGTGGTACTCTTTTGAATGTTGTTGCTTCTTCAGCTGTTATTGTATTTCTTTTACCTGGAGTATATTTTTTTCATGTCGGTGGTAGAGGATTCAGCACTATTCTCACCAGGTTATACTGAACAGGTCATTGGGCAATTCAATCTTGGGTTTATTATTGGCAAGCTAGATCAAGACCTTTTTATTGTGGATCAGGTAACGTCCCTGCTTGAAACACTATAAAATACGGAATAAGTAGCTCATTTTTAGGTTTAAAATTTTTTTAACCTTTGATGTTTTTTGTGGTGGTAGCTAATTCATTCTTTATTGGAAATTATTTATATACCACTTCTTGTCACCAGCATGCTGCAGATGAAAAGTATAACTATGAACGCTTGTCGGAGTCAACAATTTTAAATCAGCAACCTTTGCTCCGGTGAGGGATGTAAATTTGTGGGTTTTAGTTTTTCAATTACTTCATATTTTTAGGAGGACATGATTGAGGGTTAGGTTTAGACATTCTCTTCTATCACTCGTCAATATGTCCATTCAAAGATTGATGTACTTTGGGTGAATCTTGGTAGATCAAAAGAACAAATCCAAATGGTTACATAACTTAGATTTTCGTAAGTATTGATCCAGTACTGTTTCTTTGTAGTTTTTGACTAAATTGTCCTCTATTTACCATTTGAATGCTGTAGGCCATTGAAGATGGAGTTATCTCCTGAAGAGGAAATAATTGTTTCCATGAACATGGACACCATAAGGCGAGTGCCTGGAAAAAATGTATTTTGTTTGCATTTTGTTCAATATTAAAATTTCTCAGCTTTCTGGTGCTAAGTTTAATTTGGCCTATTTCACAAGAACTTTATTCAGATTTGGTTGCAATTTGAACTTGTTTCTAAACCAACATAATTGTGACCGTGTGTACTTCAGGAGAAATGGTTTTACATTGGAAGAAGATCTATACGCTCCTCCTGGACTTCGATTCCATCTAAAGGCAGTTCCTTTCAGTCAAAACATAACTTTCGGAGTAGCAGGTATTCATAATCCTATGATGTATATGGTTAATTACGGAGTAAATGTTTTTGAACCTGTAATGAATAATGTTCTCTCTCTCTCTCTCTCTCTCTCTCTCTCTCCATCCAATCTCCATTTGTGGAGTTTTTATTAGCCTTGATTTGGAAGGTTTTCAAGATTCATGTTCCCCTTTTTACAAATGCAGATGCAAAGGAGCTGATTTCTATCCTTGCAGATGATGGTAGTAATGCTCAACGTAGTTATAGGACCGATGCATGTGATTCGGTGTGCCCACCTAGAGTGCGTGCAATGTTGGCTTCCCGCGCTTGCAGAACATCCGTTATGGTTGGAGATCCACTAGACAGAAATGAGATGCATAAGGTAAGTATTTGCATACCTTTCTTCTCTTTTTTTACATGTATATTCTTCCTTCTTTAGCTTATAGATAAATTGAACTCTGTTTTGGCAAAGGGGATTAACTCATTAACTTGCTTTGCTTTGAAGTTTAAAATACTCCCTCTCCACACATTAATGTTTTTGGTTTGACTTGTCACGTGTATCAAGAGAATTAAAATGCGTGATTGAGATTTGTTTATAAAGGGAAGTGACAATACTAATAGCACAGTTCTTTCTTAAAAATGAAAGAGGGATTATTTTTGAAAGGGGGCCAAAAGCTATCAGCTCCCCTAATTAGCTTGATGGGCAAATTTCAGATACTGGAGCATTTGGCACGCTTGAAATCGCCTTGGAACTGCCCCCATGGGAGACCGACCATGCGTCACTTGATCGACTTGAACACCGTACGTAAAACAGTAGTAGAAGACCCTGACGCAACCTTCTGAACTTACTCCAACCATTGTGTGTTTTCTCGATTGGAGGGAAAAAAGCGAAGAAGGGTATTTTTGTCATGTAACTTATTGGTGAAGTTTTGTACAGTACACTATCAATGAAGGAATTTTTTTCAAGTGTTGGCTATATTGTTTTTTGTGCTAGTCCCTCATTCCTTGAATTAAATCCATGGGTGGAGCGTTTGGAAGAGATAATGTTTGATAGTTTGTTGAATCTTTTTATAGGAGGGAGAACATAATAAAACAAGTCATGTTACTGTGCCACTAAGTATGTTCATAATTTTGCTCTAAACTTTTTATATACATTAACCGCTTCACTTCATACAAGCTCGCACAAGTCCAAAGGTCAAAATGTATTTAACTTAGGAAATGAGCAATGGAAGGACGCTAGCTCCGCTCCTCTCTATTGTTCCGTCATTGTTCTTCTCTTTTTTGCACTCTCAAAATATCTACAATGCTATCGCTCTCTCTCGTCTTGCATTTTCACTTTTTTAAAAAATATTCATCATTTTATTATGTAATAAGTTATATAAATTAAAAATAATAAATATCTATTAATAAAATTAGATAAAAAAAATAAAGAATAAAAAATTATAACAATATAAAAAATAATCAATGTAATATTAAGTGCATAACAATACTCTATAGTACGGTTAATACATTAATAAAATGGGAAAATTTACTTAAAATTTAAGCTAAAACTATAAATATGAAAAAAATTAAAGGTTGCTTGGAAAATTAAAAACTTAGAAAAAATTGCAAAAAAAAAAAAAAAAAAAAAAACAGCAGGGCAGCAATGGCAGCCGTCGCCCGTGCCCCACGCAAGCTAGATGCAGCACCAAGTCCTGCAATGGTTCCCGCCACACGCCCCGTCCCTCCTAGCGGAGCGGCAATAATAGATTCCCCCCATTGTAAGTGCTCTTAATCCCTGTAAAATACTACATATAAAATAGAGTAAAACTTATTTCCAATAGGCCCTTGATGCATCACTTCATTTACTACCCAAAACTTCATTGAAAAAAAGGAACATGAAGTTTAATGTTTATTTTTTATTTAGCCCATTGAAGTAGGAATGCCTGGAATGAAAGAAGTAATGTTTGTAAAGAATAGAGGAATATATAACTTCACAACAATCATAATACTCCTTTTTAACACACAAAAAACAAAAAAAAAACATAAACACATCGTATTTCGTATAGTGCTTACTACTTTGGGGGTTGTGGCCTTATGGGTGGGGAACATCACAAGAATATTACTCATTACTTTACAACATAACAAAAGTAGATGTCCCTCCATACCTTCTTAATAAGGAGAATGCCTCTTTTTCAAGTGTGGTTTTGGGGATTTCAGGACAAGAGTGCTTGTGATCCATGATGTTTTCCGACCAGCTGACTTGTCGGACAGCCAACAACAGAGGCGACCGTCTTCACCCCCGCTCCATCCAAAGATGCCTTCGTTCTGAGTGATCCCGCCGCCGCCGGGCGACAATCTTGATGACATTGGGACCACACTCCTTACAACGTCTTCATGCCCACCTTGTAAGACCACTTCCGGGGCCCCAATTGTGTACGTGCCTTTATTTTTGTTATAATCAATAGGAAAGTACCCTAAGGTGCCAGCATTTGTCCCTCCCACCGCCCACAGTCGGTCTCCCTCAACTGAGTAGTGGCAGTCTACAAAATAGTCCACCTGCAATCCACAAGTTGCGCGAGTGAGGTATGCATCAATATATCATAATATGAATGAATATTTCTTTACTTCCAAGCAGGGGTAAGGTCTGCACAAACGCTCTCTAGACTCAACTTACTTCTCTGCGACTCTACTGGGTTTGTTTGTTGTTGTATGAATGAGTAAAGCTAAATTGCCACATTGTGGTTCACCACTTGGATGATTTTTTGAGGTGAAATTATTAATTTACCCTTACTATAAGAAATTGACACCTTCAATGTAAGAGCAAAACAGTAAGCAAGATGGAAAGGTTATGTATCACAGCTAATTTGAGGTGAAATCATCAAATTTACCCAGACTAACACAATTATTCATCCAATCTTTCAAAGAAATTGCAATCAAGCAAAAGTTTCGAGTAGGGGTAAGGTTTGCGTACACACACCCTCCTCAGACCCTACTCATGTGGGATTCAATTGGGTTGTTGTTGTTGTCCCTTTATATGGACAGAAAGATTTTCCTTCGAAAACAGTAGGGACAAGCTTACAAATTGTTGCCATACCTCATCTAGGTTCCAGTTTTTGGAAGCCAATGACCGGGCATCCTCAAATGTTGCTTCAACCCTTTCATCTTTCCAGTCCCAAACACTACCAAAAATTTTAAAGAGAAAAATCATCCATGATTTGTGAGTGTGAGGACAATGATGCTTTTGTACATCAACGAAATGTATCAGATTATTTTAATTTAACTCTCACTGAAACACCATAATTCGCCATTGCAGATGTGCATACTGTACCTTAAAGTTTCAATGTGAGTTAAGCACCAAAGTTTCTCATTTCTCTGTCCAAAAAATCCCACTTTTCCAATTGATGTCCCGACATTAAACACCTGCATTTGCAAAACACCGCTACAGCATTTGTAAATCAGTTATATACTCCGTATTATTTTCAATAATTTCAGATATGTGACTTAAGATTTTATATGATTCTGGCTATCGATACTACATCTGATTATGATAAGTGCCACTAGCCATTCTATAGAAAATTGGAAAATATAACAGAATGGAATAAGCATAATCACTTACTGATGCCAAATGATCATCCTCATTGATATCCCCACTAGTATCAAATAAACACATCAACCCATCAACAGAAGCAGAAAGAAGCTTATTTTGGTGGCCTGGAATAAATCTAACCTATTTTTATAACCACTCCATTAGAAACAGCTATAGCAAACAAAAAGACACTGAGAACCACATGGGATAGTTAAACACAAAAAAATAGTGATGTGCCAATGTAGAATAGACTGCACGATCGGAAAAAACATACTTGAGTCACATCCTCCATGTGAGATCCATCCAAGCATGCAACCATCTTTTGGGTTCTCCAGTCCCAGATGATTATCTGCACAATAATATTCAGATAAATAACATGTTTATGTACATCCTGGCCCCTAAACCCAAACGGGGTTGCAATTATACTAGGTTGTTGTTATTTTTGTTGTTGAAATGGGAAACTAGAGACCCATTTGCAGAAAAAGAGGAATACTATATGCAGGAAGCTATATTAAAAGGCAACAAATCCACAATACATTGATTTAAATTAACAAGCTATCCATCTATGGGAAAGTGCACCTGAGATTTACACCCCGCCGCAAAAAGATTATCTGCAGCTCCACCAAATGAGAAGCTGAAGATCTCCTGAGAAGGCCCTGCATTCATGCAAGATACCTACATACATTACAGAATTTACATGATCAAAGAAAGAATCTTTAAACAATGAGATATGTAATGAGAGTGAGAGAGAGAGAGAGAGAGGATGGCAAACCTGTTGGAATGTTCTGGTGTCCCATGCTCTGAAAGTGCCATCTGAAGAACATGAATGCAGAATATGCTCCATTGAAGCACTTGTCCCAAAGGAAATGTGATTAATCGTAGAGGAATGGCCTCGGCACTCCCCCAGAAACTGTCCGCTCGCCGGGGAGTAAAATTTCACCGCATTTGTCGACAGCGAAACCGCCATTGACGACCAATCTTCCCTGTATTCACATTGAATTGGCACATATTTAAGTAACACAATCAAACAATGAAGATGAAATATGGCAATTTCATAAACTCCGTATAAATTAGCGATGGAGAAAATGAGAAAGGACTTACTTGGGCGCGATTTCGAAAACGTAATCATCTCCGAAATTGGTTTGGACGTAGTTTTTGAGTCCGACGCGATTGAAGGAGCTCGATTCTGGAGCTGCGGATACTTCTTCTTCAACCTCCATCTCTCTCTCTCAGTATCTCTGCTAATCTTTCCCCGTCAATGTCGAAGATCAAAGCAAAAACAGCGGCGGGAGGGTTTTTTTTGCATTTGGGCTTTTTCCCTCGTGAAGTTTGGGCCAACCGCGGTCCAATTTTCCCTCGTGAAGTTTGGGCCAACCGCGGTCCAATTTTCATTGTCAATTACTATCATATGAACCTGATCAAAATGTGAGCTGGATCAGGTTTTGAGCTGGACAAGGCCAGGCCGGAGTGTTTTCAAAATAAATTTTTTGAAACAAAAATTAAAAATAATGTTTTAATAGACAAGATATTTGATGTATTAATAATGATAAATATAATATTAAATCAGAGATTAATCTATACAATTTATTTTGTGTGTGATATTATTATTCATTTTGTAAAAAAAATATTTTTTTGAACCAATAAAAAAATACTATTAATGTATGATTATGTGAATTTCAAATTAGTTGTCTTTTCAAAACAACCTCTCTATTTTTTCAGTAATGGTAAAGTATGCGTAGACAAGTCCTCTCCATAACTTACATCCGTGTAATTCTACTGGATTGTTGTTGTTGTGATTATAAGGAATAATAAATTTGAGTTCAATTCAACCTCAAAAGTTGATTCAAGATACTGAGATATTCAAACTATTGTAGACTTGAGTCTAATTCAACTCCAAAAATTAAAGAGATATATTGAGGCACCAAGCTAGTATAAACACTACTCCGTATAATATTGGTGTACACGATCAATGTGAGAAATTAAGCACTCAACAGATTAGCAATACTATTAAATGATCCCGTTGACACGGCAAATTAGTGTAAATGTATGGCATTGGGCACTTATGTTCCGCTCACAAAATTTGATGGTTATTCTCTTATATACTATTTTTCAAACTTAAATAGTGTACAATTTTTTTTACTCAGTAGTTTCTTACTCGGGGTATGTTATATAGTCAGATGATAAAAAAATTAATTCTAGAACGAGTGGAGTAAAAACTCCGCAATGTTTAACTAGAAGCTCCACTTTTCAACTTTTGAAAAAAAAGGATTAGCCTCATCTCGGATGTTCCCTCAAACTCGGTCAGAAGATCACTGATAAGTGATAAATTGGAT